AAATATTTAGACTTCAACCCACAGTTTATCTTGAATATCATCTCTGCTTTTTACCCAGGCAGTTAAAGTGTGCTTCTGTGAATAGTTACTGTGTAATAAGAACGTTTTATGACCACTTTTATACAATTTAACTGTACAGATTAGCCTGTTTCGGCCACAGGATTTAAAAAATAAAATAAAATAATAAAAACTGTATACTTTCATCTCATAGTTCTGACATTTTTCTCACAATTATGAGTTTATATCTTACAATTCAGACTTTTTCCCTGCAATTCTGAGAAACTGAAAAAAATAAAGAAAATAAAAACTGTGAGATAAAAACTCACAAATACCCTTGTTATTTTTTAATTAATGGCTGAAACAAACAAAAAAGTGAGATAGAAACTCAGAATTCAGAGAAAAAGAAAGAACTGTGAACTATAAAGAAGTCTGAGAAAAAACTCAGAATTTTAAGTTTGTCTCAATTCTGAGTTTGTATTTAGCAGTTCTTGAGAAAATTAAAAAGATTCAATTACTTTTTAAAATTTTTTTTTTTTTATTCCATGGCTTCCACTTTACTGAGATGGATCTTAATAAAATATAAATAAAACAAGGTCTGAGGGAAGTTTTATTTCAATTTAAAATTAAATTGAAATGTTTTTAAAGGGGTCATATGATGCGATTTCAATTTTTCCTTTCTCTTACAAACTCTTGGTGCATAAAAAAGATCTGTAAAGTTGCAAAGACTAAAGTCTCAAATCCAAAGAGATATTCCTTATAAAAGTTAAGAGTCAACCACGCCTACCTAAAATGGCTCGTTCTAACACGCCCCCACATGTCTACGTCACAATGTGGGAAGATTTGCATAACACTGCCCAAATGTTCACGCAAAGAAAGAAGGCCTAACTTTATTCTCGCTGTAGTTTTGTTGTTGCCGCTGCCGCCATGTCGTGAAGACGCTGTGTGTTTCGTTGTGAAAGCGAAACTACTTATTTTGGCCTTCCAAAAGAGGACGATATCCGCTT